ACACCTGGAACAATGATTTACAAGGGTGTTATATAACTATCATATGGAGTTACTTGGTCATTTTATGATGAACTAGTGGTATGATAGTCTTTGTAAAAGTAATTGATAGAATTGAATGAAGGTTATTGTATTAGACCATAATTTTGTCCTTACACATGTTGTAGGACTATATATTAGTGTTACATATTGAATTAGGTGACAATTTAATTGAATTAACCTCAAAAGGCACATTTTAGGATATACATATGTTGCCACATATGACATGTCTGTTGAAATTTCTGCTGGAAAATTCAACAATTTATCACACAGAACGTGCATATGTTGCCACAGATGACAATTCAAGGATGGGTTAATCGATAAATTGAGAGATTTAGCAATGGAAAAATGTCAAATTGGACAAAATTCTAGTACTTTGGACCATAATTAAGCAATAAAAATATGTTATAACACTTGGAACAATGATTTACACTGGTGTTATATTACTATCATATGGAGTTATTTGGTCATTTTATGATGAACTAGTGGCATGACAGTCTTTGTAAAAATAATTGATAGAATTGAATGAAGATTGTTGTATTAGAGCATAATTATGTACTTAGACATGTCGTAGGACTATATATTAGTGTTACATGTTGAATTAGGTGACAATTTAATTGAATTAACCCCAAGAAGCACAATTTAGGATATACATATGTTGCCATATATGGCATGTCTATTGCGATTTCTGCTGTAAAATTCAACAATTTATCCAACAGAACGTGCATATGATGCCACATATGACACTTAAAGGATGGGTTAATTGATCAATTGAGCGATTTAGCAATGGAAAAATATCAAATTGGACCAAATTTTAGTACTTTGGACCATAATTAAGCAATAAAAATATGCTATAACACTTGGAACAACGATTTACAAGGGTGTTATATAACTATCATATGGAGTTACTTGGTCATTGTATGATGAACTAGTGGTATGATAGTCTTTGTAAAAATAATTGATAGAATTGAATGAAGGTTGTTGTATTAGACCATAATTTTATACTTAGACATGTTGTAGGACTATATATTAGTGTTACATGTTGAATGAGGTGACAATTTAATTGAATTAACCCCAAAAAGCACATTTTAGGATATACATATGTTGCCACATATGATATGTCTATTGCGATTTCTGCTATAAAATTCAACAATTTATCCAACAGAATGTGCATATGATGCCACATATGACACTTAAAGAATGGGTTAATTGATCAATTGAGCGATTTACCAATGGAAAAATATCAAATTGGACCAAATTTTAGTACTTTGGACCATAATTAAGCAATAAAAATATGCTATAACACTTGGAACAACGATTTACAAGGGTGTTATATAACTATCATATGGAGTTACTTGGTCATTGTATGATGAACTAGTGGTATGATAGTCTTTGTAAAAATAATTGATAGAATTGAATGAAGGTTGTTGTATTAGACCATAATTTTGTACTTAGACATATTGTAGGACTATATATTTGTGTTACATGTTGAATTAGGTGACAATTTAATTGAATTAACCCCAAAAAGCACATTTTAGGATATACATATGTTGCCACATATGACATGTCTACTGTGATTTCTACTGTAAAATTCAACAATTTATCGAACAGAACGTGCATATGTTGCCACAGATGACACTTCAAGGATGGGTTAATCGATAAATTGAGCGATATGACAATGGAAAAATGTCAAATTGGACCAATTGAGAACACTAAGCATAAACATAATGTAAATTTTTTTAGATTAAAATTTTTATAAAGAACAAATTCAAAAATCAGTACAAAACACAAAAAGGTTACCTTTTTCCCCATGAGTTTGCAAGAAATGTCTATATGTTGCCACACATTACAATTTAATTAATGCAGAAATTTAATTACTTCATTTATTTCTAAATCACAACTATATAATTCACAATGAACATGGTAGTATTGATGAACAGTGCAACAAATTGGTCTTTCTCCCAACAAATGAGGTTCTGGCACCCTTCTAAATAAAATATATCGCAACCTCTGTCGACATCTTCTGAGTTTTAGTGACTCCGTTTTTCTCATGTTGGCAATGAACATTAAGCCTTCTCTCATGAATTCACCGCCCTTGAAGATTGAAATTAAGCATTCCCAATGCATTTAGATCGCTATAGTGGAAATGATCAACCTACAGAAGAAATAACACATTTAAAAGGAAGAATACATTGATAAAAATGTGAATGCATGCGAAGAACATTAAAAATTACCACGCCTTTTCTGTATAAGGCTTCTAAATTCCCTGATGCTTTGCACATTTCCAGGAAAAAAGTGCATTTTCGAACAACTGACCAAGGGTTACACATCCATATATATTTAGTAAAGTTGGCCAATGTTACATTTTGATATACAGAAGGTTCACTAGCGACTTGATTGAGGACCCTGGAACTGAGAAATCAAATCAAATGGTTAGGAAATCAAATTAAAGAGTGAAAATCGATTAATACATACATACCTTAATTTTAATATTCATTAAATCTTTGAAGGAGTAGGAAGCAATCCTTTCAACGATATCAATTAGTAGTTCCCTCGGAAGGGATTCAATGTAGTTTTTTTTTACTCCGAGTCATTTTTGAAGAATTTTCCTTCTTCCTTCCCATCTTGGAGAAAATTAAATGAAAGGACTTTTGAAGACGAAGAGGCACTTTTGACTTTTCAAATGCAAGAACTTAATATTTTGAGAAAAAGGTAAAATATCAAGTACTTAATATTTGAATTAGACCATGATCCGTTACATGTTGCATTAGGTGACAATTTAATTGATTTAACCCAAAAAAACATATTTTAGGATATACATATGTTGCCATATATGACATATCTGTTGTAATTTCTGCCGGAAAATTCAACAATTTATCCAATAGAACGTGCATATGTTGCCACAAATGACATTTCAAGGATGGTCAAAATGAGAACACTATAAAAAAAATAAACAAATAGTTTTAGATTAAATATTTTATAAAGGACAAATTCAAAAATCAATACAAAACACAAAAAAACCACATTTTTTACCATGAATTTGCAAGTTATGTACATATGTTGCCACATATGGCAATTTAATTAATACCACACAGTGGTATAATGCAGAAATTTACCTACATAATCTAGTTCTAAATCACAACTACATGATTCACAATGAATATCATCTTCATCGTCGCTTCCCCTTTGCCAACCATTCTTGCGTGCGATTTGCTCTGGTTGATGAACAATGCAACAAATGGGTCTTTCTCCCAACAAATGAGGTTCTGGCGCCCACATTCCACCTAAAACATATCGCAAATGCTGTCGACATCTTCTGACTTTTAGTGGCTCCATATTTTTCATGTTGGCAATGAACATTAAGCCTTCTCTCATCAATTCACCACCCTTGAAGATTGAAATTATGGCAAGGACATAGGATGCACCAATGTGGCCACCGTCTACTTCTTGATTAATCATTCCCAATGCATCTGGATCATTATGATTGAAAAAATTAAACTATAGAAGAAATAACACATTTAAAAGGCAAAATACATTGATAAAAATGTGTATATTACCACGCCTTTTCTGTATAAGGCTTCTAAATCACCAATGCTCTGCACATTTCTAGGAAAGAAGTGGCTTTTTGAACTACCGAAAGTTGATCAATGTTACCTTTCGATAAACAGAAAGTTCAGTAGAGACTTGATTGAGGACCCTAGAACTGAGAAATCAAATCAAATGGTTAGGAAATCAAATTAAAGAGCAAAAATTCATTAATACATACATACCTTAATCTAACATTCATTAAATTTTTGAGGGAGTAGGAAGCAATCCTTTCAACGATATCAATTAGTAGTTCCCTCGGAAGGGATTCAATGTAGTTTTTTTTACTCCTAGTCATTTTTGAAGATTTTTTCTTCTTCCTTTCCATCTTGGAGAAAATTAAATGAAAGGACCTTTTGTTATTATGTTCTTATAAAATGACAGGAATGTAATGAATGTGAAAAGTTGAAACTTCTAAAGACGAAGAGAAGAGAAGAAAACTTTTGACTTTTCAAATGCAAGTACCTATTTTTTTGAAAAAAGGGTAAAATATGAAGAGTTGTAATTAATTTTTTTCTTGAAAGTTGTTCTAATGACAGTAATGATTGATTGATTGTTCACACACCTTACACGTAATTATTTATTAGAAATATGTTGGAACAAATGTGTTTTCTATTGTACTTGTAACACATAATTGACATATGTTGGGACATATGCAATATTCTGTTGTAAAATCTAACACATAATTGGCATATGTTGAAACAGATGCAATAGTTCAAAATAAATCACACATTTTATATAAATAACATAACATAAGTTGATTCAAATTAAGATAAGAAGATAGGGAACATCATCCTCAAATAAAAAAGAACATTCATTAAAATTCAACAACACTTATGGAGCATTTTGATTTGGGCATGTAGTTCTTTTGTGGCAAAAGTCCCTACATACGGAACACTTATTTTTTCTTGTTGGAAATGATTCACCAACTCCACGCCGTCTCTTATAACTCCTTCTTCCAAGTTTGCTTGGATCAACATATGGAGGAGGTATTTCTCTCTCTATGATATCCAAAGGACAATCACATAATCTTCAGGTGGCACCGGGTGAATTTCCTCACAATATGCTATTATGTATTTTTCCACTGATTAATATGGAGAGGAGTACTAATAAATCTAATTTCCAAAATCGGTACCAAATTGGGATCGAAGCGCTTCCATGGCATAAGGACAAGGTATTTTGTCCAAGTAAAAATTTCTACAAGTACAAGTTCTTCTTTGTAGATCCACCATAGCAACATCACCATGACCAGTGGCACTGAACTTGTAGTTAGCGATTTGATGAGCCAACAACTTGTTGCCCGCGTTGACATACTTTGATATGTCTTTTTCAATTGAGGGAACAAATCTATTTGCAGAGTTCACCAGCTCCATACGTCTCTAGTGAAAGAAAAGTGCAAATCTCCTGTTTATTTCATCAAATAGAGCGACAATGGGAAATTCTCTTTCAACGTCAAACATAGCATTCACCGACTCCGTGATGTTTGATGTCATAATGTAATATCTACACAACAAAAATTAAAAATCAATCAAAACACATAAAATTACCATAAACTCAAATGAGATGGTATAGACAATAATGTACCTATTTCCCAGGCAAAATGCCCTGCTCCATGTATGGAATCCAATACGTTCAAGAGTTTCAGCCACCTTTGGTACCAAATCTCTTATTTGATTGAAATGGTCATTGAACTCACATCTATCGTACGCCTTTACTGTTTTATAAAAATGGGACACTACCTTTGAATTGTGAAAGTTATTTTGAATATTTCTCCCAAGGTGTCTCATGCAACAACCATAATGAGAAGCAGGGTCGATAGTCGAAAGCATCTTTCGAATACTTGGATGCCTATCAAAAATAATGCACAACTCATCAGTATCATCTACAAAGCTTCTCATATTTTGAAAAAAATATTCATATGAGGCATCGCATTCCTTGACCACAACACAGAAAGCCACTGGAAATATATGATTCTCAGCACCTTGTGCCACGGCCAACAGCAAAACTCCTTCATACTTGCTCCTCGAGAATGTCCCATCAACGGCTATTACTTTTCTCATTTCTTGAAATCCAGTTATCCAAGCGGCATATGATACAAAGAAGTACTTGAACCTCCCATTTTCATCTAGCGACAATGCCGTCTTGCTTCCTGGATTTGCAACTTCGAGCATATAGCAGTACACATTAAGCATTGCATACTCGTGCTCATGTGTTCTCCTAACATTAGACTTAGCATGCTCCATGCCCTTATAAATCTTCCAATATCTTACCTTACAACCCAATTATGTGCGGAGTTGATTTGACATGTCTCTTGTGGATAGGCCTTTACCATTGGGAATCCTATTTTCAAAGTACTTACCTATGAGTTTTGTCGTGGCATGCGGATTATGGCTTGTAAGATGCTCTGAACCACACGTATGGTAATTTTCATAGATTCTAATGACAAACATGTCGCTACTTATAAATTTCACAGCCCTCAGCCACCAATTGCGCTCCAATTATGAACATTTACAAGAAAACACATCACGAGAATTGATCACCTTTTTCAGTCTAAAATCTTTTTTCAAGTAAGCAATTTTCAATGAATTTGTCAGTTCTTCCTTGTTCTTGAATGTCATTCCCTTATAAAAACTGGTTTAATCATCTTGAACATTATTCACACGTGATGATTGAGAAGAAGCTGGATTGTTGCTGGCAATAATAGGTGTAGGAGGATTGTTGCTCTCAAAGTCCGGCACTTCATCTTTTCCAATTTCATCATCGTGATTATTCATGTCCACAACATCAAATTCATCATTTAACATATCTTGTTTGTCTTCTTCTAGATTATGATCCTCCTCGATAGGATTTTCATCCACGTAGACTCTTAATATGGGCGATCTCTCTGCTCCTCCCAAATAAACAAGCAAACTAGGCTGATTAGTTATTTTAAAAGGTAAGACCTTCTCATTATGAAAAATATTGGGAATGTAACTCATGCCAAGATCTTTCGGTTGACAATTGAATCCACATTTTTGGATGACTAAATTCACAAAATCAGCATACAAAATATTTCTTTGGACAATCGTCCCTACCGACCCTCCCCGTTTCTTACCATCCTTCCAATGCCAAATGTATCGATTTTTCTTCTCGACCCATTCACCACGACAATCAATCCCTACAAATAATTCCTCCATTTATTGTACCTGAAGAAATTAATTAAAAAAACAATTAGTACTAATGAAGAATGTGTAAGTCATATGTTGCAACATATGACTATTCTGTGGCGACATGTAAGTCATATGTTGAGAAATGTAAGTCATATGTTCTGTTCTGTTGTGACAAATAAATCACATGTGGCAACATGTGTAAGTTATATGTTGCAAGATATGGGTATTATGTTGCGAAATGTAAGTCATATGTTGTTACATATAACTATTCTATTGTGAAACATAAATCACATGTTGCAACAAAATGTATAAGTCATATGTTGCAATATATGACTATTCTGTTGTGACATGTAAGTCATATGTTGCAGCATCTAAATCATGATTACTTTCAATTGTGAGAAAACCTTTCACAAATCCTTGACACTTTACCTTAAAAGCATCCTTTAATCATAAATCATTCTTTTCATAAACATGCATAAATTCATAAATCATGATTCATAGTTCATAAGCATAACTCATATTCATAAAACAAGCATAAACACGAGGTCATAAAAAATCAATTGAAAATCTTGTGATTATATAAAATCATGCATAATAAGATTGAATATCAATAATTTAATCATAATAAATAGAACCCATGGAGATTTGCATGAAAACATAAGAGAATTGGGTGAAATCAACTTAGGAGATTGAAATTCTTTTGGGATCCAATAGATAAAAGGGATCAATTGATAAATTCTCACATACCTTGATAATCAAATCCTTAAGAATGCAAGGAGGATGAGACCTTGAAGCTTGAAACCCTAACTTTCACCTTGAGAGTTGTTAAGAGGATATATAGAAGAAAACTTGAGGGATTTGAGAGAATTGAGTAAATGAGAGGATTTAGGCTTAGTCTAATGAGTAAAACTGATTATAGGGATAGTTATAGGGCCAAAACGACATAGTTTATGAGTTAATTGAGTAGATAAAGATCAAAATACCCTTAATTAAAATTGTTGGATAGGGTCTACAATTTGGACCTATTGTTTGTATGTCTTTCTACGGGCCATCCTGGTCAACCGTAGAATCGTTGCTGGGACTTAAAAATTCAACCAACTTCCACAAAACCATTCTATGGGTCGTTGTCCATTCTATGACTCGTAGAGACAAACTGTAGACCCATAGTTCAAGACCGAATTTCACTAAGTCTGGATCACTTCTACGGATCCATTCTACGATCCGTAGAACCCCTTATGACCTATCTTTTCCTCCATAGATCAAACATCAGAGACTTGACATTTTCTAAAACTCAACCCAATTATACGACTGCCTTCCTATGGCCCGTAGATGGTTTCCATAGAACACTGCCTCCATGCCAAAAATGCAACTTTTTTCTTTCTAACTCAACTTTCGAATTTCGACGTGTTACATATATATTGGATTGTGGATGGAAGTACAAAGATAATTGCTATTGACATTTGGTTTGATTAACATACAGAGGCCACAAAAGGTCATACATGATCTACAAACAATATACAGTAAAACCTTTATAAATTAATATAGGTGGGACCATGAAATTTTATTATTTTATAGAGATATTATTTAATCGATAAAATAATATTCATAAATTTAAAGAATGGTTTGAGATTTAATGAAGGTTAATTTTGATTATATCAAAATCATTGTATCTTACTAATTTATGTAATATATTTATTGATTTCACATAAAAAAAAATTTGTATACATAATGTACAATGAATACATCAAAATCATTACATCTTACTAATTTATGTATCATATTTATTGATTCCACATAAATATTAAATTTATTATACATAAAGTACAATGTATGTGTATTCATTGTAATATATTTTTTGTTAAATGATTCATTGTAAAGAAATTCAATCATTCATTGTAAAATTGTAAATAATGTTCACTGTTTCTTAATAATAATTATAATTCATTTTATTTTTATTAAAAATATTTGATGTATGATGGTGAGAAAAAAAACTATATAAGAAACACATGAAGTTTCTTTAAACCATATCCAAAAATAGCTTCTCATTTAAAAGGTGACACAAAATCAATAATGACAGATCAAATGCGTAAAGCATTATGTGAGTACAAAAGAGATTATTCCCCATGCACTCAAAAAGATTTACAGTCTTGGCTTAATGAAAATTTTCATTTGAAAGTTAGTCAAGGTACAATATCAAACACACTCAAACGATCAGCTAAATATCTTTCGGCTGACTTAGAAAAAGGAAAGGATATCAAGCGATACAAGCTAGCAAAATATCCAAATATGGACAAGGTTGTTTATGAATGGTTTCTCTAATATCAAGACCGTGTGAATATAACAGGAGTTAATTTTGGAGAAGGCAATAGATGCAATGAAACTTTTATATCCTCAGGAATATTTTGAGCACAAATTATCTCTAGGTTGGCTTGAAAAGTTCAAGCTAAGACATGGTATCAAGTCATTTCGGAAAGAGTGGTTCAGTTGATATACAAGACATGAAGACGAAATTGAAATCCATAAAAACAAGAATATATCAATTTCCTATGAAAGATGTTTTTAATATGGATGAAACTGGTTTATTTTACAGGTTACAAGCTGATCAGTCTCTTGCTATGAAACAACATGAATGAAGAAAGCAGGACAAAGAAAGACTCACAATTGTTATTTGTTGCAATGAAGGTAGATCTGAAAAAATTCCTTTATGGATTATTGAAAATTATGTAAAGCCACGATGCTTCAAAAATGTCAACATGAACATCTTGAATTATCACTATCGTGCAAACAAAAGAGCATGAATGACAAGTGTGCTTTCTGATGAATATATTCATTGGTTTGATCACAAAATGCATGGTAGACGAGTTTTGCTTATGGTAGATAATTGTCCAGCCCATAATAGAAATATTGAAGGACTACAAAATATTGAATTATTTTTCTTGCCACCCAACATGACATCCAAAATTCAACCTTGTGATGTTGGGATAATAAGAGCTTTCAAGATGTATTAACTTGACAGATTTTATCGTAGAATATTCAAAGGCTATGAAGTGGGACAAACTGATCCAGCAAAGATTAATGTTTTGAATGCTATTAATTTTGCAATCCCTACTTGGACAACAAATGTTCACCAAGAGACAATAGCAAATTGTTTTCGATACTGTAAAATTTGTTTGGGGGGATGTAATCTTAGAGAATTTGAATGAACCCACTTGTGAAAACGTCATTCATGAACTTGAGGTCATGATTAATGATCTCGGTTACCACAGTAAAATTGATGTCAATAACCTATTGGATTATCCGGGTGAAAGTGATACATGTTTAGAGGTCCAGAACTTAGAAATTGTGGATACGATCAGAAAAAGCAATGTTGATGATGAAGTTGAAGATGATATTATACCTTTGGAACCAGTTACACGTAAGAAAGCACTTATCGCATCTAGAACTCTTCACAATTTTATGGTGCAGTTCGAAAAGACAACACCGGAGCTCTTTGATGCAATAAGAAAAGTTAGAGATGAGTTTTAACTAGATTTAAATTTTAAGAAAAAACAGAACACAATATAATCATATTTCACTAAATTATTTTAGATATATTTGTACTTTTAAACAATTATTAATTTATGATATTAATGAGACCATATATTTATATAGGGGTTTTCTTGTAATATATTATCTTATTATCATATTGAAATTGATGATTTTTTCCTTTGGCCTAAGTCGGGACCGGAGGAAAATATTATTTTAGAGAGATTATTAATTTATCGGGTATTAATTTATAGAGGTTTTACTGTATCATGCATATATATATATCAATTATTTTAATCTTCCTTGTTGACATACGGATCGTATGTCCAATATACTAATTGTATATAAAGGTCGTAGGTCTAAAACTGCAGAAAAAGAAAAACAAATTAGTCGGATTTACCATCTCACTTCGTTTTGACTGACTTTTTGAGAGAGAAAACAACCTAGAGCTTTCCCTAATCATCTAAGATGAGATATAATTCTCATAACTGTTATATCGAATTTTCAAGGACTAACGCTAGAATCATCATTTTGATCCTTAAATTTCAACAGTCAAATTTAAGAACATT